AGAGCCGCCAGCTGCCAACCAGCCTCACCGATTTCTGTTCCCACCCTCGGGAAGGGGCTCGGAGGAACGCCCCGCTATGCTGCCGCGCGCTGCGGGCTTGGCGGCGAGCAGATGAATCGCTGCAGCGCTGGTTTTTGCATTGCACAGCCTTGGCAAGAGACAAATTTGGTTTTGTCCTTCGCCCAGAGCTGTGCCGCGCCTGGCTGAAGGGAGGGCTGCCCCCCACCCCGCCAGCAGCCCGCTGCTGGGGAGCCCCGTGGCTTTTGCACATGCTCTCAGACACTTGGATCTGCTGGTGGGATTTCAGTGTTGCCTGAAAGCACGGGCTTTCATCCCGTTCCTGTTTGCTCCCTTTGGCATCCGCCCCGGTGAGGGCGAGACCGTGGCTGTGCTGGCGCAGGGCTGGCGAGGCCCCGCGTTCAGCACTTGCCCCCAGCTCCTGACAGTCGCTGCTGCCCCAGTGGCTCTGGGGTGGTTCGTGAGTCTGGGGGTGCAGGGAGCTGTGCCCTGTGTGGAAAGGCTTGGAGGAGCACGTGCTCCTATCCCAGCCTGGGATAAATCAACCCAGTTTGGTTTTGGTGCAGACCACGGGCAGAGCAGGCAGCAGGTCCTTGGGACCAAGCCCTTGGGAGAGGCACTTGTGGGCTGGACCACGGGGTAGAAGCAACAGATGGCTCCTGGTGCCCTGGCTCTGCTGATGGCTCCTCTCTCCCTCTCATTTTGGCCTCCAGGATGACATGACCGACTCCCTGCGGGATTACACCAACCTGCCCGAGGCTGCGCCCCTGCTCACCATCCTGGACATGTCGGCCCGGGCCAAGTACGTGATGGATGTGGAAGAGATCACGCCCGAGATCGTGGAAGCCTTTGTCAGCGACTTTCTAGCAGACAAGCTAAAACCCGAGCCCATCTAAGGGGGCTTCTGCACCAACAGACGTTATTTAAAACTAGGTCTCTCTTCCGCCGCTCGTGGATTCTCCAGCGTGTCCTCACGCCTGACCCAGTATCCAACCTTCTTGTGGTGCCTTGTTTTACGCAGTGAATCCTTCTCCTAAGCAAACTCCTTGAGATGCACTTTCAGCAGGGAGTCGTTGGCATTTGGAGACTTCGCTTGTGCTTCATGGCGATATATTCTCTAGTAACCAGACCAGAACTGTTACTGTATCATTATTTTATACATGGCACTAGCTAGCAAGCAAATCTTTTTTGCATGGTGTTCTTCCCAACACGTGCATCAGGCAGTGGATGGGGTTCTCGGGGCTCTTTTCTTCTCCTTCTCCCCCTTCTTTCCTTTCCTACCGCCCCTGCTGACTAAGTGACATTAAGGAAGCAATAAGGAGACTGTCCCCTTCGCCCCTGGCCCATCCTCCTTTCCACCGATGAGTACCAGTGCCCTGACGAGGCCAAGACAAAGTCTTAACTGCTGACAACCTCTGACAGACCACGGCGCAGCCGAGCTCTTCCTCCTGGGGGTGAGACCTTTCCGGGTGGGTTTCCCACCTCCTACCCCCCACGCCCACAGACACTGGCTGTGCGTGTCGGGGGTCCCCCACCTGCGACCGGCGGATATTCCTGCCCTCGCTTGCTGAGCCAGGACCACCGCCACCGGGCTGCTCCGGCCTCTCCGTCTCGCCCTTGTGCTCTCCCCGTCCCCTCTCTCCTCTTCTCTGGTATGAATTGTCCTGTCCCTTCTATGTTAGTTGATTGAGCTGTTTTTCATAGGTGTGTCCCAAACCTGACGTTACTGGTGCTGTTCTTTAAAAAATAACCAAAAAAACCCCAACAAAAAAAAAAAAAATCCCTCCCTAACCCAAGCAGCACAGCCAAGCCCCCAAAAAGTGACATTGTAAAAACTGTACATGGTGATTGGACCTTTGTAATAAAACTGTTATAATAACCTCGTCCTTGGAGGTCCCGATTGCCGTGTCCCACCATCGGGGAGAGAGAGCCCGCCCGGGACCCGTGCGGGAAGAGGAGCCCCCAGCCAGACCCCGTGGGTAGGTGCCTGTGCCGGCAGCTCCCGGCGCTGCGGTGGCTGAGCCGGGGTCACATGTTCCCCCCGGGGCTCTTGGCTGTTCCTCACCCCGGGGTG